ACTCTGCTTTCATGGTTATTGATCGAGGCTCCTGGCTGCAGCTCCAGTCTTAATGTGAGCACCACACATTACCAGTAACTGTAAGCTTTAATACCACATAATGTAGATTCAACGTATATCAATTAGTTTTTGTCAAATAGGCAACAATTCTGTCCGGAGATGGCTGATATGAGCGTCTTCCTGTTTTTGAGGAATGTATTGGAACAATCATACTGTGCTCTTATAAGATCATAGTTTTTCAGTGTTGGGCAGCTACAGTTGTCAAATAAACCAAAGGTGCTTTTGCCTTTCACGTATCCCACTCTAGAACTACATGACTTATGGAAATAGAACTTTTTAGTTCCTGGGTCACTATACAAATGTGATGTAGTTATTTAGGCCTAATTAAAGTGTGCTGCTGCTGAAGCAGTTGACCTCAAAGTTGCATTTCAGTGAAGAAGCAGTTGCTTTAAATTAGCACTGGGTGAGATTTATTTGTATAATATGCTACAGACTGACTGTGCTGCTTTGTATTGATCCTTTCTCAGTTAAAATGGTGCACTGGTATCTTTAATAGGTGGAGAGACTGAGAGAGATGGAAGTAGCTACCTAAATAGACATATAGCAAGGTGCTGTCGGGTAGAATGAGGGCTTGCCACCTTGTTTTGTCACTTGATAATTTTCTAGCTTGTTAACAGTTTACTGGACAAATGAATACTTTCTTGCAGGATGCACAGACCTGGTAAACTACTTTAATTTCTTCAGTTTAATTACTCTAAAGCCCAAGACGAGGGTGTGCACAGCTCGTGTGTCCTTAAAAGAAACAAAGTAAGAAGGATTCACTGTGTGGCTCCATTTAGCAATTGAGCTTCACAAGATGATTAAACTCAGAGTCGAGTTGACAAACGTCACAAAAAAATCCTTTAAAGAGAAACAGATCCATTCAATTCGCAACCCTAAATATCACCAGCTGAGTCGGTTTCAGTGCAGTCTTGAGTAGGCTGTCATGAATTTGCTCATTTTTTCCTACCGTTGTAGGTTGTTCTTTTGGATTGTGCTACATCATATCAAATTATATAATATATTCAGGGTTTTTTTGTTTTTTTTTACCACCAGTATTTTGTCCACGACTTTCCGATACATGATTACAAAATAGCTTGAGTGTAGTGGTGTAACTAGAGATGTGATCAGTAGTGGAAGCAGTAAAATTACTTTTTAAGGATCTTGCACAGAGCAGTTTATTTTTGTGTCATTGTTGTATTTTTCAGAGGCTGGTTGTCACACGTTACGTCAAGAAGGCCAACCGCAAAGTACATGGGTGTGGCTTGTTTGAGAAGTTAGCTTGCAGTATAACACTGTAGTAAAGTGGAAGTGAAAGCAGTCTGACAGCTGCATATGATTTAATTATAATAAGAGGTCTAATTTAACACAGTGTGTCTGTGGTAGTGCCGTTTCATGGGGCTGCAGCAGGAACGGCTCATTTCAGCCCCAACAAAGTGTTGCTACTTTTGTAATTATGCTGAAAAGCTCAACTCTGAGATGGTTTCCATTATTTTGTCTGCCTGGAGTTTATCTGCCCCCTCAAAACAATCTGTTTGCTGACAGTTGTCTCTGTGGAAAACACAATCCTCTCTCTTTGGAGACAGAGGGTCCAGGCACAGATAAGTATCGCTGAGCCAACATGCCAGAGAACAACACCACCTCTTCTTCATCTGCTGTCTCCTGGGTTATGAACACATCCCCAGACAGCTCAGCCATGGCACCCCTGTTCTCCAGTGAAGCTGATGCAACTGACTCGCCTTACTTTGTCGTTGTTGTCGTTACACCAGATTCTCAAATACCATTTTGTGGAGCTTCAGCAGAAATCGTCAGTGAAATGGTGTATCTCGGGAAGGGCGCGTACTTTTTAGTTCAATAACCGCAGAAATTTTCAAGCATCTCGTTTTGGAACCACAACGCTGCCTGACAGACTCACCACACACATGTTGAAGGGTAGAGCTGTTAGTCAGCTGCATTTACATGTGACAGAATGTCTTATTTTCCTCTCACACAGTGCACAGCCTCGGTTTAACATTGCACATGTGCAGACTGCTCATTTACAGGTACTCACTGTCACACAGTGAACAGTTCAGACAGAGAGAGAAGTGGATTTGCTGCAGGAGAGTGAGGACTTGCACCTGGCAGCCAGTACTGGCCACATATCCAGAAGGTTGTTGAAGTACACGTTACTCAGCTCGTTTTTGAGAAGGGGGGGAACTGAACAAAAACAAAAAATTCACATAGTCCAATATCGTCCTGCTGTTCCCAATAAATAAAATGGAAGATTATCAGTGCTTGTGGCTGCTGTTGCAATCTCATCAATTTTGTGATCTCATTAAAAATTAGGAGATATAAAATCAGGTCAGCTCTGCTATCACTTCCAACATAAATGAAGACAGAAAACTAAACAGCAGTGACTTTTAGGGTTACTGAAGTTGGGCTAGCTGGTATTTAATGATGTGCTACATGATCGCTAGCGACACAACTATGTTAGCATAACAAACACAGTGAAGCTGGAGGATGAGCGCTAACTTTTTTACTACTCAATAAAAGTTAAAGTGAGTGTTCCTGATGGTTAGGGACAAATGTAATCACATGGCAGGATGCTGTAAACGGACCAAACTTCAGTCAGGAGAACAACTGAGATAATTCATCCACTATAGAAGGTTAGTCATTAATACACTGCAACAACATGGGAATAGAGCAGCTGCGAGAGAATTCAACATTAATAAATCAATGGTATGGAAGTGGAGGAAGTGCAGTTTTTGGCTTTCCTCATATTCCAAAACGTGCTTCGTCTCTTTGCTATTACTGTCGCCGCATAATTTGCAGATGATATTGTTTGCAGCCGCTGCAATGCTTTTGACCAAAACAGGCGAAGCTGTTCATATCGTTTCTACCAAATACAGTTTATACCGCCCACCCCTAACTGTATGTGTGGAGTTTAATGTTGGCTCTGTGGTTCCTTCCTGGTTCTTCTCACAGTCCAATAACGTGCTCATTTGGTTAACCTGACTAACGTCCAACTGACAATTTTGTGTTGGTGCATCTAGCCTCTCACTCGGTAATAGCTGGGGATATGAATTGGATAAGCAGTTAAGAAAATGGTGTTTGGATAGAAATAAAACAAACAACAACAAAAAGGTAGTGGCATCACATTGTCATTTTTAAATGTCCTTTTCTGTCGTTAGATCTTTATCAGAACAGCAGAATGAAAAACAGAATATCTGCTCAAGGAAGAAATCCATGAGTAATTGAATTTTTTGGGATCTGCTCTACTCTACTACAATACTGATGTTTCACAGTTGTAGTGTGTAATTGTGTCTTATTTTTCGTCGCTGCGACCGGTTTATCAGGTTGTCATTAATGGAAACTTCTCCCCCCTCCCTCAGCTCAGCATCCAGCAATGCTAAGACCACTGCTCAGTGTACGGAGATGTTGAGCTGTTCCAGATGACGCAAGGTTAAAATCCTCTGAAAAGAAATGTGTCCACAGTACCCAGGAGAGTTTCAATCACTTAACTACCATTAAATGCACAGAGAGACTCCTGCTGGGAGGCGGGTGGGGGTGCTGCAGGCGAGGAGCTCCAGGCCTGATTACTCTCTGGGGGAAACAGGCTTTGAACTGGTCCTTGTTTGGAATCGGCTCTCTGCACTTGTTAACCCCGCAGTTGTTAAACTTGCGGTTCCCAGCCATATTAGTTCACACACAAAGGCAACGTCAAATCATGTGACATGTGCTTGGGCGCACACACGAAAGGAGTCCTACCAGCAGAAGTGTTTCTGTCCTGCTGATTTCCTTCCCGCTCGTGTTTTTCAGTCGAGTAGTTTGTAGTGGGCCGGTGCCCAGATGACTGCATCAGATGTTAAATATGTGGTCAGAGGGAACAGAGCAGCTTGGGGTGTGGGCACACTGTGAATAAAACACCAACTGAGAAGTAATTGTAACACATATTAACGTACAGCCAGCATGGTCTGGATCACATCGAAAAAATAAAGACGTCAACTGATGTAAACTAAACAGACTGCTGGTCCAGCTTTAGTTAGCACCAATGCAATAGCATGTGTTTAATCTGCCTGTTGTTAAGATATAAGCTGCAGCCTTTATTTTATTTTAGTCAATTTTGTGCTTGTTTTAATTAATGATGTCAGTGTGCCATACATTTAGCCATACAGGCTACTCTTCATCCCTGGCAGGCTGATGGCACAAACAAGAAACGTAAACGCAGAGGGATCTAAGCACAGAGCAAAGTCAGAAGCACATAAATGATCAAACATTGACATAATCAGATAAAATATTAAACAGTAAAAGCCACTTAGAGTGCTCATGAGCATAGCACGACCAGAGTGACTAAAATGCAGACAAACAGTAAAACAATGACACTCCATCAGATGTCTTGACTCACAGGCATGTAGACACGCTTTCTGCCTCTTACCTGTAGTTATTTTAATTTAATTTAATAACTGTACAGTACTCTCTGTATATAGTAACCACTGTCCTTAATGTAAATATGTGAAAAAAATTGTGTATGTTTCTGTTCCGTGTACTGTTTGTTTGTATATGTGTCTTTTTGGCTGCTGTTACAACCAAATTTCCCCTTGTGGGACAATTAAAGGATTATTCTATTCTATTGTATTTCTCAGTAAATACATGAATCAGTGCCTCAATGTGATTGTTGTTTTTTAAAATGTAATCAAATTGCTGGTGCTAAACTTTCTTTCTTACTTTGTTTTATCTGAGGCCCTGCAAGACGAGGGTCATGTGATCATGTTGTGCACTGAGGCAGCTGTAGGCTATGTACTTTGCTACCAGTGACGTGATTAAGCGTGATCGAGGAGGTCCAGTTTAAAGCTCTGTACATGCGCAAGCTCTGCAGTAATTTCCTTTTTCACAGTAACATCAGCTGTAAACTGACTTTGTGTTTGAGCTTAAATAACTGGTGAGATTTCCCCTTCACTGATGAACCTCTCTCTGTTTTCCAGGCTAGGTGTGTGTGTGCTGACCTCATGGTGTAACAGGAGTAAAGATGAGCATTAGCAGTGATGAGGTCAACTTCCTGGTCTACAGATACCTACAGGAGTCAGGTATCCAGCTCCAGTTCTTCTCCTCTTCATGAAAAGCTTTATCGTTTTTGTAATAGTTCTTTGCTTTTCTACCAACATGGCTCATTATAGTTTTCATTAACAGACTTAGTTTTCATCACAACAAATGTGTGTTTTTATTCACTAATGATGATTAAAATGAGCTGTATGAATCAACAGTACTCTTTAAAAGTTTGTTATAAAAAAGTAATTATCATCAACAATTTATCATGTTTTTTTGTTGTTTTTTTTAAAGAAGGGACTGAATTAAACACAAATTGAGCAAGAAGACAGTTTGTGATATTTCTAAAAATCGTCTCTTCGAAGATATATAATCATTTATTTGTTTGGGTTTAATTTAATCCTTTTTTTCAGGATCTGTTTTCATTACATTTATAAGACGAGAAATCAGTTTCTTTTTTTCCTTGTCGTACTATAGGCGGTAGGGTAGTCAGCAGATGCCTGAGCTGCCTGTCAGGTTGTTGGGTCATCTTTGTCACTTTGTATACACAACACGGTCAGTGTGGTGCTGCTTGTTGTTTAAAAGCAGAATATAATGACGCCATTGTAAACAAGAGTGCTTAAAAGAGGACAAACAGCACAGGCTGTCTGCAGTGTTTTAGACAGACGTCATCACACAGTCAGAATGAATCATACAGCCGGACCGGTGTCTGTCCATCGTTTAATCAGATGGGTCGAAATAACATCATGCCTACCACCTGTGTTGTATGGATTTAGGGAAACAAGGAGAAACCAGGAGAAAAGCGGTGAAGGTTAAGGAGGCCCTTAGCTTGTTAAGCAATGTATCGATCACAGTTTTTAATGTGCAGCTTTTGTCTGTCAAAAAAAGACAAAATGGTCACCTCACATTCTGCGCCACTACAGTTTGTTTTTACTGCTTATGTGCAGCAAGTCTATAAGATGAGCCCCCAGTTTGGTGTCCCAAACACCAAATACACACTAACTGAATAGTGTCACTTTGCAATTTTTGTCTTTTCTAAATAGCAACTAAACCAAACTATATAGCAACATGCTAATGACCTCGTGCTGCAGACGGACCAGATGTGCTGTTGGTTCAAGTTTAATCTGTGTATATCTTCTTCCTGTTCTATGATGGTGTTTGTCTCTGCCCGTTATTGAGAACAATTTAACCTTCATGCAGTGTCTTCCTTGTGCCAGTGTGTTTATATGGGTCTAACCACAGCACTAGCTAGCCACCAGGTCAACTAGCCCAACTTCGCCCACCGCCCAAACTCTGCTGGTATTTAGTCACTCAGGTACGTAGTACCTGGTATGTAGCTCTAGATGTTAAACGGCTAGCTAACTTACCGCTAACTTCCACCTCTTCTAAATCCTCTTTTTTTGAATGCCTGGACGTTGAACTTTAACACCGGGGAAAACAGGCACTCATCATTCAATTGGTGCGGAAATAATTTGGACTGGTTTTAACCCTTAATGCTGCCTTAGTGTTAATTGGCAATGTGGTAGATAGTAAGATCATTAAGAGCCATTTGCATTTCGTTTTATATAAGTTTGGTCCTGACTTGAAGTAAAGGCAGAAGTTATCTGGAATAACCATTTTGCAGACATCACAGCAGAAATGACAGATTAGTTATGGACCATCATAAGGATGATCATTTAGATGGTTGATCAGATATATTTGAACTGGAGTCGATCTGTTGGAAGGCAACACTTTGAGGATGTAGACAAAGGCAGACTTAAACAAAACTGCTCTGCTGCCGAGTGATGAGGAAAACTTTGGCTGCAAAGAGTGGGACCTGTTGAGATCAGACTCGTTGTGTACACAGATGAGAGTCGTCTCAGCTGTGGATCTACAACTAATGAATCAGAGGTTTTGAGAAATATTATTAAGAGAAGGAGAAGTAATTCGACCAGCTCTAAAATTAAAAGGGTGACCAGCTGTCCAAATGAAGGATGAGCTTAACAATAATCACATGATAACAGAAAAATATCCACAGCTTCTTACATTTAAGCAAATATGGGCGGTGATGAAATTAGTTGGCAAGTATTTCTGGATTTGTGTTCTCAGATTTTGCCTTGGGGGCCAGCGTTGCAGCCAGCAGATATATGGATAACTGATACCCTGAGCCAAAACTTCTTGTTCTGTATTTATAGTCCAACAATGAATGAAGATAAATCATCATTACAAGAGAGCTGATGGTTATGAGATTTAACTTCAGTCAAAGCTTTTGTCCTGTTTCTCCACACACGGGTAGCTAAAATTTACTCAAACATAAATGGTCAATATTAACATTTCTATTACCGTTTATTTCCTAATGAGAGGATGTACATCAGAACAGAAAGACGGAGATGTCTGGATTAGATCATTCCATTTGTTTATGGGATACCTTTTAAACGTCGCCATGTTTGTACAAAAGCACTTTTATGCCTACATGTCAGTGGCAGCCATAAACAAAGCCTTGTATGTCTGACCAGTTCCCGTGAACGCAGCATCTCAGCAGTAGGTCAGTCCACTATTTAGGTCTAGATGTTACCTGCAGATTGACAGAGGTCAGGGGGGCATGCGGTTGTGACGCAGCAGTTCTTGTTCTCCAACAGCAACGACTTCACAAACATGTTACTAACAAGTCAGAGGTCGAGCATTTTCTTCATTAATACGTCGACTCTGCGGAGGGTCAGTAACTTTCATCACCACAAAAACTTAAGGAAAAAAGGGTTGACTTTTATAAGAAAAAGTGTTAAAAGGCAATTAAGACTGAAAAAACCGCCACAACTTGTAGTTCTTCACTGTGTTGAAATCGAAGGGAGTATTATTTACTAATATTCTTTTCTTCTCCTTTTTAGGGTTCTCCCACTCAGCATTTACCTTTGGCATAGAGAGCCACATTAGCCAGTCCAACATCAATGGTGCTCTGGTTCCCCCTGCTGCCCTGATCAGCATCATCCAGAAGGGCCTGCAGTACGTGGAGGCTGAAGTCAGCATAAATGAGGTGGGACACAAACAAAGACCCTTTAACATCAGATAATAATTCAAGTCTTTCTTAAACGGATTATTAGGATGTCATTCCCATATTAATCTGATATCAAAGGGAATCTGTAAATGTAATATAGACAGAAGCCTGTCTGCTTCTTTCACCAGCTTCTTGTCTTCCTCTGTGTTTCCGCTCCAACCCGATTTCTTCTCTGGCTCCGCAGGACGGCACGCTATTTGACGGCCGGCCCATTGAGTCCCTGTCCCTGATCGATGCGGTGATGCCGGACGTCGTTCAGACGAGGCAGCAGGCTTACCGGGACAAAATGGCCCAGCAGCAGGCTGCAGCTTCAGCGCCAGCGTCGACCACTGGGGGCACTATCGCTGGCAATGCCAAGAACGGAGAGAATACTGCCAATGGGGAGGAGAATGGAGCCCATGCCTTAGCAAGTGAGCGAAATGATTCGTATGATTTTTGGGATTGGGGAATTCTTTTAACAGAGACTTGTATTTATGTTATCAATTAAAATGATGGAATATTATTACATTTTTTATGTATTCACTCATTGAATTTTGTGGTTTTTCATGCCTGTTCCATCAACTCTGTGTTCAGATAATCATGCTGACCTGATGGAAGTGGACGGCGATGTAGAGATCCCTCAGAACAAAGCCATGGTCTTGAGGGGCCATGAGTCAGAAGTCTTTATTTGTGCCTGGAACCCAGTCAGCGATCTGCTGGCATCAGGGTGAGCCTTGCTTCCACTTTTGTACCACGTTAATGTTCAAGTCATGAAGCAAACAAGCTGAAAAAAGAGACTAAACATGAATTAATGCTTAGTGCCAGTTTGACCTGAATGTAGTCTTAGGACTTGCCTGGTTGTCTCAGTGCACCATCTGGTGGTACAACTTGGTATTACATGAAAGTGCAGCACAACCCTATTTTAATTTCAGTCAAGATCACATCAACACTTAACGCAGATGTTCTGCCCATACATGAGCAATAAAGTGATGCTTCAGATTTATTACAGAGATCTTTGCTTTGTACAAATGATATGTAAGGATGTGCTATAATGTTGTAGGTTACTTTTTCAGATGGCAGTCTGATGTGTGTGTGTGTGTGTGTGTGTGTGTGTGTGTGTGTGTGTGTGTGCGTGTGTGTGTGTGTGTGTGTCTCAGGTCTGGCGATTCGACGGCTCGTATTTGGAACCTGAGTGAGAACAGTACAAGCAGCTCCACACAGCTGGTCCTGAGGCATTGCATACGAGAGGGAGGACAAGATGTCCCCAGCAACAAAGACGTCACCTCACTAGACTGGAATGTGAGTACACACAGGCACACAAACACACCAAATGTAACACGAATCACCCTGCTCGTGTGGATTAAGTCACAATCTGTAACCTTGAGAAGTTTGTGGGATATTTTCGAATTTCAAAGGGCTGCTTGATGTGTTTTCTAAAAGGATTCTGGTAGTTTGGTGTCATTTTTAAACCCCTTTTTGAAGAATCAGAGACACACTTTTGTTGCTAACGCTTATTGTTGTGAACACCTCAGCACGAGATATGCATCCTAAAACAAAAACAGGCTAAGCACAGGCTGCACCCCACGCACAGTCCTGTCAGCAGTGCCCTCCAAGAGTGTGGTAGTAATAACGTTTGATGTTAGATAAGATATAAAAAGATATGTGAAAGAAAAAGAATCCACTATCAACTTTAATTTAAGGCTCCTGCTGTGCATTTTGCTCCTTTACGAAATAGGCTGATTGTCACCACTGTTGTGTGGCAGTAGATGGATGGTTCATTCACTCATGTTTTTTGAACGTTTCTGCCTATGAGCATTTGCCTCGGGTCGAGCATTTAAGCCTCGCCTCTTTATCAGGTAATATGTAATGCAGTCACAATCCCAGCCATTTAATGAGAGCAGTGGGATTAGCCAATCAGCATCATAGATGAAACCTAAGCATCGTCAGCTGCCTGTCAGTGCTATTGTTCAACCAGGACACGCCAGTGCATTTTTATTACGTTGCATCAGTCGACTCTGGCAAAAGCAGCATGTTGCCATGGCAGTGCATTAGCTTCAGGTGGGATATGGTTGTTCTGTAGTGACTGCTCAATCAGAACTTAAAGAAAGGAAGTATCAGTAAAACATGGAGGCCTGTGTTGGTGCTTCCGGAACTGCCCCATGTGTCTTTATTTGTGATCGCAGAGGATGGCAGCAGCTGACCGAACTTTACAGAGTAAACTCAGGTTTTTTTAATGTGCGCATGTTTCTCCAGTCACTTTGGCCTGGCCTCCATGCTCCAGCAAGACAGCATGCCCACACCCACTCTATCAACCAAAACTTTAAGCAGTCACAAAATCCAGGAAGTCTTACTAGCCAGATCAGTCACCATATTGAGACTGTGGCGAGGGTGTTGAAATCCTCGAGGCCTATTAAAGCATTTCCAAAGAAGGTACTAAACAGGTTTTTTAAACCATCTTATAAAATGACAACATTTAGGTAGATATAAAGAGCAAAGTACTGAATTGTCAGCGTGTGCTGAGTATTTTAACCGTTGGAGTTATCAGACGATGCATTCTTCCTTCAGTCCAGCCTCTGGGACATAAACCAGAGCCAAAGGCAGAGTCGGAAATTTCCTGGAAAGCATCCACGCTGATGGAGAAAACAGACCTCTGCTATAACACCAGCTGACGCTCATTCGATCTGAAATATTTGGACACATACTGTAACTGAAGAACAGGACTTGGGTCAGTAAATGTGTCGAAATCAGGCTCTCATTTATATGGAAACATCTCTCTCTCTCTCTGGCAGAGCGAGGGCACACTGTTAGCGACGGGCTCTTATGACGGCTTTGCCAGAATATGGACAAAAGATGGTGAGATGGCTTTAATTGATGTTACATTCACACTTATTAATGTGGTGTAATCGCTGGAATGCTTTGGGAATTGTGACGTGAATAGTTTGCCACATGCTTTAGTTCATCCTTGAACAATGCTTCCATCTAGAGGCAGGTTTACAGAATGCAGTTATTTTTTTCCCCTGCACTGTATTTCTTTTCAGGCCTTTAAATCCTTTTTTGCATTTAAAGCTGACACGTGTTGTTCTCTTGTTGTGCTCCACAGGTAACCTGGCCAGTACTCTCGGCCAGCACAAAGGTCCCATCTTTGCCCTTAAGTGGAACAAAAAAGGCAATTTTATCCTGAGCGCAGGCGTAGACAAGGTAAACCTGTAAATCAGCTCCAACGAGAAATAACTTTAAGAATAGTTTGTTATTGTCTGGTGAGGTAATATTTTACTGCACTCACACTAAGTGTACATGTCTCCTGACAGACAACAATCATATGGGATGCCCATACAGGAGAAGCCAAACAACAGTTTCCTTTCCACTCAGGTAAACAGACGAGACACACAACAAAACTAAAAAAAATTTTTTGTTCCTGTCTAATATTCCTCTCTCCATCCGCCCACAGCTCCGGCACTTGACGTGGACTGGCAGAGTAACAACACGTTCGCCTCCTGTAGTACAGACATGTGCATCCACGTCTGTAAACTGGGGCAGGACCGACCCATTAAAACATTCCAGGGACACACAGTGAGTAGATTTGTGTTCATGTGCATCTTCCCAAAGCAAAACACACCGCTCACATATATAATGCTTTAGCTAACCTTCGTCTCCTCTCTGCTTCCAGAATGAAGTAAATGCAATCAAGTGGGATCCCACAGGAAACCTCCTAGCCTCCTGCTCAGATGATATGACGCTGAAGGTGAGTCGCATCGCTGCAGCTCCTCACTTCCAAATGAAGAACTTGATGATGACAAGAGATTAAAACATTTAGGAAACAGCTGAGCTATAAATCAGCATTCAGGCATTACAGTAACTTTCTAACCATTAAGACGTTCTGTAGGCTTCTTGAATGCAATGGTTAAATTTTAATTATTAGTTCAACTAAAATAGAAAGCTTTTAACTTTCTTTGGGATTTTGCTTCTCTTCAGATCTGGAGTATGAAGCAGGACGCCTGTGTCCACGACCTGCAGGCACACAGCAAAGAAATCTACACCATCAAATGGAGTCCCACTGGCCCTGGAACAAACAATCCCAGCGCTAACCTCATGCTAGCCAGGTGTGTGTGTGTGTGTGTGTGTTAGAAACCCAAGAAGTAATTAAGGACACATCAGGACACTTCAGCTCTGACAAGACTTGATTTTAAACATTGATTTAAATGGAAATGATGGTGTGTTGAACAGCCTGCTATTGCCTGTGGCAGCTGATCCATTGTGTGCACGGCCTTTTTAATACTGTCTGGTTTATCTACATGTCGCTGCTGACTGAGCAACACCTCTGACACTCAGTTTAGAAAGCTAAAAGTATACACATTCAAATTAAAATGGGCTGGTGTTTATATAACGCTTCTCTAGTCTTTACTAGTGCTTTATTCTCTACACTTGAACTGCCTCACATCCGTCATCAGTGTAGAATCATCTGCTGTGCAACTAGCTAATGAGCTAACTAGCTAATAATAAACATATGTTTGACTCAGCATTAGCTTGTCCATATGGAACTGTGTTGTTTCCGAGCTAAATCAACTCCAAGTTTTACAAAGCACTCAGGTTTTAAATTAACACAGGAGAGTGAAACGTGTTACAGTTTCTGCCAAAGTGAAAGCCGCAGTTCACATTTTCCCCTCAATGTGAGATATTTATGAACCTGCCCCTCCTTCCACAGCGCATCATTTGATTCCACCGTCCGTCTTTGGGACGTGGATAGAGGCATCTGTATTCACACGCTGACCAAACACCAGGAGCCCGTCTACAGCGTGGCTTTCAGCCCTGATGGTCGCCATCTGGCTAGCGGCTCCTTTGACAAATGCGTGCACATCTGGAATACACAGGTAGGAGGAGGACGGTGTATGTACTGTTCGAAGGTCTGAAATAAAACAAGTAGTTAGATTAAAATAATGCTTGTTTGCACTGTGCCTGCAGACGGGAGCTTTAGTCCACAGTTACAGAGGGACAGGGGGAATCTTTGAGGTTTGCTGGAATGCAGCGGGGGATAAAGTGGGAGCCAGCGCATCAGACGGATCTGTAAGTCCACACACGACTGTTTTTTAATGATTTTTTGTGATCGATTCAGTCTAACGGATGGACCTCTGCTCTGTTCCAGGTGTGTGTATTAGACCTTCGGAAATAGTGCTGCCGTTTGTTGGAAGCCATGGACCGACCATGAATGTGTACATAGCCAAATGACTGTCCCTGCCTGCCCTGCCCTGCGTACTGCTCACGCTTACGACTTCGGCCCCGCCCACCGACAAACAGGAAGCAGGGAACAGGAACAGGAAGCAAGCACCCGACACAGCAGGTCCAGACACAGGGGTGAACAGACAGACGGACAGACACAGATGGATAAACGTGCTGATGGAAGCGGCCCTCTCTGTCTGCGCAGACTCTTAAAGAGATGCAGGAGGGACACGGCGAAAAAAGAAAAAAACAAAACAAAAACAACAAAAAAAACAACAAAAAACAAAACTGATAGACAAAAAAAAAAAAGAAAGAAAAAAAAAGAAGTTACAGATCCGTATATGTACCAAAATTTGGAAGCCGTTTTGCTTTTTTCGATCTTTAAACCATGCTCATCGTCATCAAAATGAAAAGTATGAAAAAAGTGTTGATCTTTGTTACTAGTCGGATCTCATCGTGCGGACATATCTCCACCACAAAAATAGGATGGCACTTAGTTTTTTTTAAATTTCAGAACTCTCGTTTCAATGTTTTTATATTTTCTATCTTCGGGGGGCGGGAGGGGGGCTTGGTGAGGATTTACAGGTTTAGGAGGACGACAGACACACAAAACAGACACACTCGAACACACAAACACGCACACCCAACCGTTACGAAGAGCAGCGTCCTCGCCACGATTTCCAAACAGTGCAGCAAAGCGAAGGCTTTTTCTTCTTCATGTGTTTCAGCGATTTCCACTTGCAGCTGGGAGTAGGCCTCATGGTTAAATGCAGTTCTTAATACATAGACACACTCTAGTTCTCCCTCTGTGCCTCCATGCAGGCACATGGCATTGATAACACGCTTTAAAACGGGTCAAGATTCTTTTACCCCGCTGATCAAAACTTTCTGTTGCCTTCAGTTTTTTGAAACTTAACAGCAACAGGAATTTCCAACTCAAACACACAGTTATCGAGGTGTCATTTGGCAATTTTAAGACTGCAAACATCTCTAATTGGATTCAACTTCAGCTGTCTGAGACTGAAAGAGTGAGAAAATTCAGCATCACGTTTCAGTGTCCGTGCTGCCGGAGGCAAGAAAAAAACCTGCAGAGGGCCGAGCCAAAGAAAACAGAGTAAAGTGTTACACAGTTAAACGTGGAAGATGATCCCAGAATGGAAAAGTTTCCATTTTCATTAGCTTGAAGAATTAAAGTTAGATTGTGTGCAAGTTTAGCTGTGCAGCTACTTGTTTCAGCTAGTTTTATTCTGGTACCAGTGATGCTGATGTAAACAGGCCGTTTTCAAACACCGATCAGTCTGACTGTTAACAGGAAGTGTGCGCATACCACGGGCCCTTTTCACATTAAATTTAAATGAGACTTTTGAAAATCCGCAAGTGACCAGTGCTGTTGCCGGCATTTGTGCACGGTGTGTATAATTCCACTGCTAGGTGGACTACGTGAAGTAGAAATTTCAGGATAAGAAACTGGCAGAAAGTCTGTGGTAGGGAGTAGCTTTGGATACCGCCTCGATCTGATCATGCTACCTGGTGAGCGAGGTCAGTTGTGGCTTTCCAAGCTTGGTTCTGAAAACAGTAATTATTTGGCTTTGCTGTCTTGGTTGAATTCAAACAGTAACTTCATAAAAGTCCCTAAAATATTTTTATAATTGAAACTTTAGGGTTTTTTTAAACAGTTTTTTAAATATGGTCACTCAGATTTCCCCGGCAGGCAGCGGAGGGCCGCTCAGAGCGACCCTTTACAAGAAGAAGACCAGGGACGAGCTGTCTGCGCGGATCAGAATGCACTCGAGTGCGTTAGGAACTTATTAGAGGCACCAAAGGACAAACAAACCAGACACAAACAAATGGCTAAAAGTCACAGCGTGACAGTTTTGGTGAATTAAAAGTAAAACATGACGCTGCATCTTTAGTGTATTTTTTGCTCATCTGCCCTCTCATCGTCATTCTTGGTTTTATGCACCAAAAATTCAGCTTAAATTTTATTCCGAAGGTCCCTGCTGACGAGACGTTTTATACTCTTTTAAAGACAAATTTAAAGTTTTTGTAATTTCTTTGTAGAGCTGAAGAAAAAAAAAGTGAATTGATTTATTGGCAGTGTTAATTTCCATGTTGAATAAATTTTAAAGATTTTTTTTTGTTACTCTGATGCAAACAGTAAAGGTTGACCCTGTAATGTAAAAGCTTTCTGAGCTGAGCTGTCATTCTGAAGGCACCTTGCCTGGGGAGCGTTTTCCCAGGAGCAAATCACCACTAAATTTGTCTATGTTTTAATTAAAAAAAAAGTTATTTTATTTTGCTTGAATCCATTCGGGAAGCTTTGTCCCTGAATCGCTGTCTCCTGAAAGTCCACTAAACACGAGATTGTAATTCTTAAATTGAGCCAGATAAAGTTGGGAGTCACACAGATGTTTCTTTGAGAGAGTCGCTCCAGACGCAGGTCAGCGGTCGAGTATGGAGTTATATTTGTGTGTGCGTGTTATTGCACACGTGAAATCGTGCCGCTTCACATCACTGACGAATGAGCCACGAGAGAAACGCACGATCAGCTCTCAACTCTGTTGCATAGAAGCTCCCAGATTTTAAATTGAAACCAACATGGCTGCGCTGTTGGGCACCTGCTGTGCGTCTGGGTAACAGTTGGAAAACACCTATAAAAGCTGAGACAACTATAACTCAATACTCGAGTTAAACCTCCGAACCAAAGAACTCATTCGAGGTAAAATCCACCAAAATCCTAATTGGCCAAAAAAAGTGCATCCATGAATGCAACTTCAGAGGTTTAATTAAACCCAAACCTGCCTCGAGGAGAAGTTCTGCCTCTGAGAAAAGTTTGTACAATTGCAAATTAACTCATTTCTTCTTCTCTACAATAAATTTCTACTTCTGGGCTGACGGTTTTCATGCATTAGTGTTAAAAGTCTGATATTTTGTACCTGTTCCTTTTGTTTTTAACTTTCCTGTACTCAAAGCATTCAAGTACTGAAATTCCTCCCAACATGTCACACGGGCAGGGTCCCCCTGATTTGGTCTGTGCCACAGAGTCAGCCCGGCAGCGCCTGCGATGGGCTCCCCGAGCCTCTTTGTTTTTCTCTGCAGCTCGCATCACTTTCATGTGTCATCATTTAAGTCCGATCAGTGAAACTTAAGTGCAGAATAAAATATATTTTGATAAGAGCTTTGAGTTTTTATTTGTGTGTCTGTAGAGTGTCGGTGCTGAAATAACGCCAAAGAATACGACTGAATGGCAATCATGAATACATGTTTTTTTTAATATATGTCAAACAAAAATAGCCGACTTTAATAAAACAGTAAATCTTTGATTTCAAACGTCCTCAGGCTGGTGCTTCTGCAGAAAGCAATCAAACCGAAGCGGCATGCTGCATTCCCCGCTAACCCTGACCCATCGAAATTAAATGAAAGCGAAGCGGTGAAATGCTCACAAGCCTGTACTATGAAGCTAGACCCTGGCTTTTCACTGCCACTGTCTTACCAGGACACATCTGCATATTAACTTGTGCTGCAGGCTTACCCTGCTCCGCGGCAGGTAAGATATCAACATGCACAAAATCACCGTCTACTGACCAATCGGTTCTCAGGAAAACAGCATCATCATTCCTGAAGATTCCTCAGAAACTCGCTGTTCCAGTTTTGTGAGGTTTCAGAGACAGGTTTGTCTTTCTCTGATGAGCATGGGTTAGAAATAGACTCAAAAGCAACTTTTTTTCTTTGCTCGCTGTTAACTAAAAGCGTAGGTTGAAGCTGAAAGAGTAGCTAAACCTTTCTTACATCAGACAACAGCCTGTTAATTTAAATAGCTGTAATGATGGGGTAGGAGAACTCAGAAATCAACAAGATGTGGATGTGCTGGACTTTGTAGGTTTACAGGTCCCAGGTAAACACGTCAAGCAACACAAAGCAAGTTCAACCTACCCCAGATATATCTTTTCCTTATGCAACAAGGATGGGAGTCATCCCAGAGTTTGGCATCATGTGACCAGACAAGTCAGCAGAGGCATTGATTGTAAAAATTAAATAATAAACTTGATTATTAGAGAAATTAAACAAGATTAAACTCACACTGTGGCCTAAACACAGCAGCGGCGTGGTAGGATAAGCCCCACATGAAAGTGTGTGGGCTTTCAAAGCTTTGCGTGGTCAGTAAAACCGGAAAAGTTGGCAAAAAACAGCAGCTCATGCCAGTAAGGAGGCTGACTTACAAATTTTATACAAGGTCAACAAGTAAAAGGCTTAAGTGCCCTGTCTGAGGATTATATCAGTATTTTAAGGCTTATGGAAAAATAGAGTGGCTTAAAAGTTGTTTGCAACCAGCACTTAAAAAAGCAGGTCAGGAGGTTGCTTCTAATACTCTATTTCTTATTGATGGTGTCACAGAGAGAAAGACTTCACATAGTCTCTTAAAACTAAAGATACAGTTATTTTGTGCCTACTGAGGTCTGAGGGATCTTCTGGGGGTGGTGATGGTAGGTGGTGATTTTTTTCACTGCATGAGTTGATCTCTTATCTCCAACTTAACCTGCTGTGGCCTTAAACATCAGGCTAATCCTGAATCCCCAAATGCTTTATAGTACATGCCCTAGACATGAGTAATCAGTCAACTGGTTATAATAAAATACACATTTTTGTCAGGTTTAGCTTGTGTATTGGGAGGCTAAATGGAGCTCATGCCTGAACCAAAAGTTCTTGCATTTGTGAACATGCAAAGAGACCACTGGGAGCCTCTCTAGTCTAACTTTTCATTGTGCGTACTAATGCTGTGTGGAGTGCAGTGACACGCTGCCTTTAAGTCCTCTGTGTGTGTGTGTGTGTGTGTGTGTGTGTGTGTGTGTGCCTGTACTAGTTTACATATCTTTGTGGAGACCAAAAATTGGAAGTTTACTATACATGTGAGGACCAACAGCCCTTATGGGAACAAAATCCACGTTCCCACGAGTTTGAAGGTATTTTTGTGATTCAAAATGTGGTTTTTAGTTTCAGGGTTACAGAAAGCATTATGTCAATTAGTTGTCCCCACATTGATATGAAAACATGATTGTGTGTGCGTGTGCCTGTGTGTGCACTGCAATATTATTAGTATGAAAATAATGTAGACTGCAGCAAAGGCTGAAAAACCCTGAAGAAGAGATCTGCCTATGTCATAACTATATAACTTACTCTACTATTATACATTACTGTTTAAATAAATGCCATTTTTATACTCTGCATAAGGCGTTAAGGAGTAAATCTATAACAAAGTAATAAATAGTACTGTGCAGAAGTTTCTGATGTTTAGTCCCATTTATCAGACACCATATACAGGAAAGCCCAGATTCATCATACAGCATGAAGATGCCTCGCAACAGCCAGTCATGAAAAACTAACTTCAGCCACAACAAGAACAAGAAGTCCTGTAACAGATGGTGTAACACCCACAGAACTCTGATCTCTACATCATGGAGTGAGTCTGGGATTACATGAAGAGACAGAAGACACAGGCAGAGGAAATCCACATGAGAACTGTTGGGATTCCTGGAACAACCTGCCTTCCAAATGACTTAAAAGAACTTTGTGCAAGTGTACCGACATGAACTGGTGCTGATTTAAAAGGCAAAGCACTGATTTGATTTAGGTTTCGCCCTACTTCACAATCTGTAAAACGTTAACAGCTGATAACTGCAAACTATCCTCACTTTACTTGCTTGAAACGTTTGCACAGCACTAAGAATTTCAAAGTGTATTTACCGTCAGACTGGATGCAAAAAACTAAGCACGCTGAAATGTTTCATCTCAGTAGGATTTAATCTGTCTCTCGCTTTTTGAACATTAATCTGATTTCCAATCTAAATATTACCCAGTTAGTCTGTGCTCTACCCATCACACAGACTGGCTGCAGCCTGGTTAAAAGGCTGTATAAAACACTCAAAATGAGAGTTAAGAGAAATCGACTCAATACGAACTAAGCACACCCAGAAAAATGGCACTATTGTACAGTAGAGACCAAAATTAGAGAATAAAGTCAAGGCTGTAACAATTCAAATTTAAAGTTACCCTAACACTAATAAAAAGATGTCATTGAGGCATAGTGTCGAATTTGAAAACGCTGAAAATACTGTACAACAAAACTGCAAAAAAACTTTAACGAGAATTTCTGAAGGAACCGTGATCAAAACTAGAGAACGCTTTGGGATCTGACAGACCCCATAAAAATAGAGAACAATCATTTTGAAAGATGGGGAGCTGCTGGTTGTTGATGGCTGTGGTTGATGGCTGAATGTATTAGAGGAGCCGGTTGTTCAAAGAGCACTGACTGCTAGAATATTCAAACAGTTTACCTCTAAAATGCTGGCCGTCTATACAAGCCGAAGGAGAAGAGGAGAAAAGTCTCAGTACAGATTTGATTCAACACTGATGCCGATTCTCGGCTGAAAAGGTGTAAGGTCCTTTCTCGGTATACAGAAATCAGACTGAAAGCCCGCAGGGACCAAACCAATCGTGAAACAGGAGAAATCAAAAGCGTATACTGAAATCTGCAGAGGAACAGATCACGTGGACACAGAGGAACTGGTATAATAATAAGTTCACACAGCAAGCATCATGTTCTGCACTAAAACTGGAAAACAAATGCACCCACAGCAGTGTGAAGAAGCCAGTTAAGTTTGGAGGAGGGAGGTTAATGGTTTGGTGGATGTTTTCTGCTGCAAAGTTTGAGCCTCTTACACATCCCCTCAGCAAGGTGAATGCTAATGTCCCGATGAAGCTCCTCCAACACAGATTATTCCCTCCCTGACATCAGCGTCTAATCAGCCAACAATATTTATGCAAGACAATGCTCCGTAATCACTCTGCAGAACCGGGAAAGCACTTCCTTGCAGCTGTTAAGCCTGAAATAATGAAATGGCAAACCCTGAATCCTGAACTAAACCCAATCGAGAATCTCCGGTTGACTGCTGAGGACAATGCTATGGCTAAGAAATCCACTACGGTTAACAGACTGAGGACGAGATGAAGAAACAGCGGGACGAAATCAAACGGAGCAGGTGTGGAATTGGTAACATCCACGCTGCAGATCTGCCAGCCGCTCCAATTAAGACGGCTTCTACAGTTCTTGATCATCAGGAATGTAATTTTTAGATGTCTATTATTTTATAGCAACAAAAACTTTTATCTAACTTTGATCACTTTAGTTACACACTGGGTCCACACTTCCTTATTTCCTTCCTAGATGAGTCCTAAATCTACAGCTAATATGCCATGAAGGCCACTGAAAGGAAAAAAACAGTCTGAAATTTTGATCTCTACTGTGTCGCCAACTTGAGCAAGGATGGCCACCGTGAGATAACAAAAGAGAGCCCTCTTCAGCTGACTGTTAGATTGTTACGTACACGGTTTTTGGGAAAGTGCAGTGCACAGATAAAAACAAACAAACAAAGGTGCTAAGCTTGTCATTTTGGCAATTTTAACTCCTACCAGTTTGTGCCTTAACTAGCTGCTTAGATCAGAGGAGGGTGGAGAGATTGGCTGCTGCTAAACTCCCCGTCAGATTGTAAATGTGTGGCTCCTGATCGTGGTTGTAGAAATGCAGATAATGCGCCAGATCCGCCAGGGTCTGCAGGACGTCGTAGGTTACTGCAAACAGGAAGTAGGTGGGCAACAGCCAGCTGAGGCTGAACACGCAGTCGCCCAGTGGCAGAGGGACGGCAAGCTGTCTGGAAAGACAAGCAGAGAGAGCGAGGGAGAATTTATTATTCTCATTATCACGGTCGAACCTCCCCGGCCCGGAACGAAGAGCTGAAACAAGCTCCAACAGAAAGGGTGGAGCATGTATGCCAGTTAAACTGTGTGCTATGCCGCCAAAAATCCAACTCGAATCTGTTTCTGGAAACAAAATAAAGCCTTAAAGGTTTTTTTTTAAGTTAATCCAATCCTGAACATCACAGGTACTCACTGGAATCTGTCCTCTCTGCATTCTCTCAGCATGATGAAGACAAACAGTCCCACTTCAGTGTTGAGGGAGAACGACACAACTTTGTCCAACATGACAACAAAACCCTGAAGCAGATGGAAAACACGGATGACTGGCAGAATTCCAGACAGCAGTCATTACTCTGTGTGTGTGTGTGTGTGTGTGTGTGTGTGTTATTTACCCTGGGATCACACACCGACACAATAAAGATGACAACGAACCCGAGCAGTGACATGAATCCTTTGGCCACGCTGGAAGGAAGAGGAAAAAAAAGGAGAAGCATGAAATTAACTTAATCAGTCGTCGTCTGAAGAGCGTTTCAGATGAATTATACGTCATGTCACAGATCGTCCTCTTCTTCATTTATGTGGAGGGGGAGAGAAAACACGCTGCAGATTAAATTATAAAGGAGAGAGGCAGAGACAGAGAGAACCTGAGTAAACAGCCTGTGAAATCGGTTCGAGTGGCTTTTTGGTGCAAATATGGTGCAAGAGGAGTGAAACTTCGAAGTCTTGTGCCCAAAGTGAATCTCCTCAATAGGCCGATGCAGTTTTTATGTTTGCTTTAAACTAAAATCACGACGAGACAAATAAGTAATAACCTGCGGACGCGCCGCATGATTTCTGCAGTGACTCCTGGTAGTTCGAGTACTTTTTAACTGGATGTTTTAGACGTTTGCGAGAGTCTCCCCTGTAAATCCTGCAGTTATTTCAGGCTTTGAAGCTACAGGTCTGGGACCTGCTATTTCTCAGAGAGCAACTCAGTTTAAGGTTTGCTGTTAATTTTGATCTCCAGTGTTTGACGCTGCTATCCTGAATCAAAGGAATCATCATATACATCTTATAAGGATGTTAAACTGATGGCATGATAGGATGTCTGCAAATCTTAGCACCCTAAAGCAGAGATATTAAAGTCATTTTACATCATGGGCCACATACAGTCCAGATGAGAGAAAGTCCTTTCTTTCTCCAGCCTGCTGAATTATCCCCATAAGAGAGAAAACAAGTACTATTTCAAAATCATGTCTCAGTGTCCTTATATAGAAATCTGTCAGCACGACTGTGTAATAAACTGTAAGTAATAAATGTGTAAAATTACAGAAAAAGTAGCTCATTGCCCAGACTGTCCTCTAACAAAGAAACAAAGCTTTTGCTTCCTTTGTTCCCTTTTTTCCTTTCTTTTTTTAAGCTGTGTGGACCAACTGTTAAAAAAAACAAATCAATCGAAATTTCTAGTGTAGATAGTGAAAAATCGGAAACTTTTCTGCAGTTATTACTTCTTTGGTGTAGTATGAATGAATATGGTGGATTTCAAGCTTGCTTGCTCTTGAATCTCTTGACAAAGAAGGAGTGAGGGGTCACAAGACAAAAACAACTGAAAGTTAGATTGTCTTCTCTTTGCTCTGGTGTAAAAGAGAGGACACCAGCTGGAAGCCTTGTGGAGAGGAGCAGTGACCTGGGTGCCACTGCTCATCCACCAGCTGGAGAGTGTTGTGGATAAGGATCACACTCACTGCTGCGCTCAGCTTTGCTTCGCAGAGTTTCTAACTGAGTGAAGAGACCCAGAAGCATCTGCCAGACCCAGCTCAATCGTCTAAACGCAAAGAAATTAATTACGTCCTTCAGCGTAGGACCCACTGGGCCATCCTTTATATAAGTACAGAAGTGACACATACAGATGATGTAAATTACTGTCATGTTTCCATCAGATGTAGATACGTTGAGAACCTTCAATAAAAGGGACAAAAATGAATTCTAAGCTAAAATCTCTTTGATACGAAGAGGCCTGGTTTCCCATAATTACTGTTAAACCTGGATTAAAAATGTGCTCCATAATTAACTAGCTTCATTTAAACGATCAAAGCGAATTTGAGCTTTAGCATGCCATCATTTTGAGCGCTGTTGTGTTGTAGCCTTGGAGATTATTAATAACTGTATTTCAGTAACAAATGTTGAAAGCCTTAATGAAGCCAGGAGACACGCTGGATCATGGATCATCTGGATCATTCATCACAGTGAATGGACAGGACGAGCAGGTCATCTCAACGTGACGAGCATTTTATTTTATTTAACAGCCTCAAAATTTGTTTTTCTATTACGTTCCAACTGATGATGTGATAATCACCTGGATGTCTGCATGAAAGGTTCTGTGGAGCCCGGTTGTAATATGACATCTCTTTGTGTAATTATTTCTATTAAAGAAAAATATTACATTTATCATATAATTCCAAGAATAAGCCATTTTCAACCGTGCTCTGCAGCCCTGAACTATGAATTCTGTGCACATCACCCAGAGGTCGTCCACATAAAAGCACAAACGTCTGATGTAATCAGCGGCGAATCTTGAACCACCCAGTTCCCAGTAGGCGGTGACTGTGCTGATGTGAGAATGGAGCAGCCTGCACTGCCAGCAAGAGGGAATCACATATTCTGCTTCCTCTGTGGTCTTCCCAGGCAGCACCCTCTCCTTAATCACATGGAGTATTTCCAGTAATATGCAAACCACTTCCTGCAAGGGGGCATGCATTAGAGAGCACAACCGTGGAAAACATCCCCACGTGATTCTCCAGAAAATGTCTAAAGTTTTTGTATGAAAAAGCAACTTCAACCAACTTTAACTTGTTTTTAAAGCAAAACTATAATTATAATTACATAACTGATTAAACTATTAACTTTTACATGTGAACAGCTGATGCTGATGATGCTCTCTGGCACATGAAAACTAAACGCTTTTACTCCCCATCATCACCTTCTTGCTGAGCAGATGTGCTGTTTATTTGGCAACTTTGGCTCCCAGGCTTTAGTCAGCCACTCCAGCTTGCTGCTCCACAGTGAGCTCACCAGACCATCGACTGAAAGAAACAGTCAAAACATAACATTACACAGCGTATTCCTTCAGTATAAATCACGACATGAACAAGAGAAACATCAACAATTGTGGCAGTACCACAGAGATGAACCACTAGTAAATAGCATACCCACAGCTTTCTCTTTTTCTCCTATAATATTAAATACAAAAGCAACAGCAACATCCAGAGCTGAAAGATGACGTTTCAGAAAACGGCATCTTTTGGAACTTCGATATTATCGAAGTTCCAAAAGATGCCGTTTTCTGAAACTGAAACCAACTTTCTTAAACCAATAGTGATGTCACAGGGTCTACCTTCGTCTTTCATGAGCAGTTTATGGGAATTAGTCAACTTACTGGTGTGCTTCATAGCAGATCCCATAACCAGGAAGGACACAGTGACGCTGATGGCTATAAACACCTGGATCAGCTCAGCCACCCATGAATAAGCCCTGTAACGTTCATTAATGATCTACAGGGAATGTCATGGGGGGTGATGGATGGCGGTGGGTGTGGAAAATGAGGACACAAGAAGAAGCTTAATATACCAAGCTGACCTAAGGTGACACCTACATGACGGTTAATTTCTTACGTTTATTGCCGGTGTTATTGCAACGTTTATAGGATTATGAATTTCACCTGAATAAAGTTCAGAACTTTTATGCAATCGCTGCATTTACAAGAATGTTTTAACGTTTTTTGTTGTTTTTTTTTTAAAAAGAAAGAAAGAAATTAATTTCCTGTTGCAGATACAGGTGATCAAACATAATGCAAAAGGCTAAATGAGAACGGCATCCCTCTGTAACATGTTGTATACTGAGCTCTGGTTCAGTAGCGCTGCGTCTGCTCGCCTTTAACGGCCCATCACAGCAAATGCAGCCAACAAACCAGAGGCCTCGCAATTCTTCAGAGATGGCCTGCACATCAAAGCTTTCTAGCAGGATGTCGCAGATAGCATCCCCACTACGTGGCTGAAATTAAAGTCGAAACAAGCTGGAGAGCTCACGTTCAGAGGGAATGTTGATGCTGGAGATCATGTTTTTGACCGCAGTAATGTTTCAGGGATTTTTAGGATGTTTTGTGAGGGTCTTGCAAAATATGAGGACCTGCTCCTCTGAAACCTTTTCACGTTTCTTTCATTTATAAAGGTATAGGTCTTCACATTGGAAAAGCTTATTGGTGCTTGTTTGTACACTGAAAAGCCGTGCATGCATAAAGGTAGACTTGGACCAGAATTCTCTCCGCTCACACTTTGTTGTGTCTATTGTCACGAGCTGTGACAGTAGAAGTCTATCTGTGATGTTATTGTTGGTTGCACTATAGACCACCATAAGTTGCAGTGCCAAAATGACACGATGACACAGGCGGATGCAGAACTGAATTTAGCAGATATCCTTGTTTGGTGAAACAATATCCTGCAGACTTTTGAACGTCTGTTTGTATAAAGTTTAATTTCAGTCAGGAAGCTTCATTTTTGCATTAGGTTGATAACGTGTGGATTTCTACATTACATTTTGCCTGGTGCAGCTTTATTCTCCTGAGTTATTTTCTCTCTAAAGAGATCAGGTCAGGATGGCTCCAAAGCGCGATCTGACTGCTAATTAGTTTTTGAGCTAGGCCAAGCCAAGCACTATAGCTAATTGCTGCATGTTTCCATTAGCTCCACAGGAAGCTGTTAGCAGGGTAAAATCACTGTTTCTTGTATTGTACTGAATACAAACACACTGTGATCACATCTTCCTGCAGTTGATCGCAACACAAACTATTATCTGGCCCAGCATGTGCTTCGAAGATGGGAATCTGCTACAACTCGCTGTCGTTTGCTGTCTTCAAAGAGATGCTGTTTTTTTTCAAGGTGTTGATAAAATGGTAAAGACAGGGAGTCGGTCTGCTGTAGGTGTGCTACCCAGCAACCTACGGTAAATGGCCTGTATTTGTATAGCGCTTTACTCGTCCCTAAGGACCCCAAAGCGCTTTACACATCCAGTCATTGACCCGTCCACCCACACATTGATGGCAAGCTACATTGCAGCCACAGCCACCCTGGGGCGCACTGACAGAGGCGAGGCTGCCGGACACTGGTGCCACCGGGCCCTCTGACCCCGGAGTAGGCAACTGGTAAAGTGTCTTGCCCAAGGACACAACAACCGAGACTGTCTAAGCCGGGGGTCGAACCAGCAACCTTCTGATTATAAGGCGAACTCCCAACTCTTGAGCCACAATCGCCCAGTGACTGAAGGGATCACCGGGCACAAACAAGATCGCATGCAATCTTGTTTGTGATAACAGTGGATTACTGTGATCAGCAGGTGAAAATTGCATCTGCAGACACAAATGGCAACGTTGTTGCTGCAGGACAGCAATTTAACTACAAAAAGAAAAAAAAAAAGTCACTTGACAACCAGCTGAGTCAGATCCCCTATTGCAAAAGACAGATTGCAGACAAGTTGTGGTGATCAGTGCAGAGTTATTCTGAGTGATTGCAACATGTTAGCAATCTGTGTTCTGAGAGTAACTGCAGTCACTTCAAGTCAAACTGAGTTTGTTTAGAGACAGGTTGACGCTCCCCAGGGAATTTGTGCAGTTGCCTTGGTATTAAAAATGGTTGACCTGAGGTTGAGGGTGCTGCACGCTCCACCTCTGGTGAATCAGTTGGTTGTTGCAACTACCTGTAATCTGTTTCAGACAGCAGAAAAATTCAATGGAACCAATGTGCAACCCTCGATTGTAGCCAGGAGGTTGCTGTTATTTATATCTAGCCTGCATGAGCCAAAGCACTTTATCAAATGAGATATGGGGTGTGTGATCTTTCTTTCAAATAGCTTCCTACAGGTAACAATTTATGTTTATTATTATTATTTAATCCACGATATCTGTAATATTTAAAAAAATATCTAAATTTTCCAGTTGACCAATACAAGCACACAAAAAAGGGTTGGATAGTCATACCTTAGTCAGTGGAATAGTGGCAATCTCTCCTGCTTTTTCTGACCTGAGGGGAGCAGACAAACAAATACATGGAAATAAAAAACAGAAAATAAGTTTATCTCAGTGTTACAGATCTGTGAGGAGGTGAGTTGACTGCTGTTAACCGGTCTCTCAGCCACAGCTGTAAATGTGCCACCGAGCAACAAAAATCTTTATCTAATGTCTAACGCCAGCAGTGACACTTTATCAGCATTTCTTAGAAATTTTGTGAAATAACAAATAAATTACTTTTTAAGAGAAAAACCTTTAGCACACAATTCATCAGATTCCCCACAAAGAAGTAATAAAATGATTCAGTCTCAGTCAATTTCCTCTGATATATTTCATCTATGTAAACCTCACTGAACAGAGAAATTGAATCAGTGAGTAAGTCAGAAAGGGATTTGAATGTTATTAAGGGAGGATTTTCTCCCTGTTAACCCATACATACATATATATAGCCCGTGTGTCCTTTAAAGGTGAAGAAGTTTCTCTTCAAGGTTAGAGTGGCGTAAAACAAACCATAATATAATGCTAAATTAAGTTCACATCAATTGAAGCTTTTCATAACCACACCATAAATTCTAGCAGCACAGTTGCAATCCATTTCATTGTTCACTCAGAAACATTGTTGTCAACAAGCAGACCTCTACTTGCATTTCCAGGACCTTATTTTGTATGATGAGCAGGATTATCTACAGAGGAAGCGAAAGATAGAATGCACAATTCAGTTTAATTCACACATAGGACACAAAAAACTCTGATCTGCACTTCTTTTGCACATAAAAGCCATGGATATGACCTGTGGCAGTGCATTAGCTTAACAGACACTGGCCACACCCCAGTATCATAGATAAACCAAGTAAAGGCTTACGTCTGAAAAATGTGTCTTGTGCACTGTTCATTTGACTGTTTTGAGTACAGACTGTATATAAAAGACGGAGGCATGTACCAGCTGATAAAATCAGATGTCACAGAGGCGAGGTGGGGAGTTTTAACAGCCCCGCCCTTAACTGTACACTGCTCGTTTTACTTTAAATGCAACCATAATGATCAAATGTTGTATTCAGTAACACTTGTATGTATCTGTATATATGATAAGTTGCATGTCTTCATTTGACCGATTTCCTTTGATGTTTGTCTTTTGGGGAAACAACATTTAACACACTTGAAGCAGAGCATATGGTTTTGTACTGACATACCTGCGCTGTCTTATGCTACATTAATCTTTCTGACCCTTTACGTTTTTAATAGTAATTATCATTTATAAATGGCTCCCCTCTACATTAATTAATCTTCATTAGGAGTCAGTGAAATAGAGCCTGGCTCTCTCAGGTTTGCTGGGAGCTGGCCAACTCCCGGCCGGCAGAGGGATCTCCTGGGGAGAAACAAGAATACTACAGCAGGGGGAAAATATTGTCCTAAATATTAAATTAGCCACAAATGGTAGTAAAGCATATGGCAGGTCAGGGCTAAACCTATGAATCAGTGTTTCCATTTTAAACTCTAATTTCAGCCATTTGTCTGCTGCTGCTGTAATGTGCTGTAGGTTTCATTAGTTACTCTGTTGTTTTTCTTTGCAGCCAAACTAACAGAACTAAATGTTGTGCTGTAAAAAGAGGTTAGAGAAAGTTAAAGACTCGAGAATATGACAACAACAGTCGGTGTGCACACATGAAAACTTGGAGTTGCATCATAATTGCATAACAGTGAAATATAACATACCACCATAATGAAGAGAACAACCTTCAACTCATCTGAAACAAAACTAGGGAGCTGAATGAAACAATGAGACAAAGGTACGCCACATTGTTTACGTCACTGAAGCTGACGTACAGCAGCGTCTCCACCCTTAGAAGCAAATGCTTATCAATGAGACTGAAGAACTCAAAAAGTCTTATTAATCAATAAAGAGAAGAAATAGAAAGTTTTCTAACTGGAAGCTTCACACGATATGGGATGTGCACAGCCCAATATCAGAAAGCCCTGCTGTCGGGGGGATTGGAACCATCAGGGTTCCTGCCACATTTGTAAATTCAACCAATGACTCTAAAGACCTTTTAAAAACCTCAGTCTATTAAAAGAAACCTAGAACCAAATAAGACTGAAATCACAAGTTGGGATTTTATGAAGAAAACACATAAACCTACATAAACCTCTGTTTTTTTGTGGCAGACATGACAGTAAAGTCTTTGGATTTTGGACTGCTATGTAAAACAAGGAATCTTGGAGATAAAGTTAGGGAGGGCAGGCTGAGATGGCTGTAAGGAACGATAGTGGATATACTGAACAAAGAATGTTGAATATGGAGCTGCCATGTAACGGAGGTTCAAGGATGTAGTGAAGGAGGACATGCTCACAGTTGCTGTGATAGAGGAGGATGCTAGGGATAAGGAGACACAGAGGCAGATGATCCACAGCATGGCAGTGCTTTAAGGATGCAGCTGAAAAAAACTTGACGAAACAGTCACTGTTGTATGAGAAAGCTTAACCATGATTTGATGTTCTCTGGCTGATTGGGCCAAAACATCTTTCACTTCATGCTGAAAATAAACTTCCAGTTGTGTCTCTCCCATTCATATTTTTCCTTTGATGCAGGCAAACATCAGCAGCTGAATGCTGGAGTACTGAATGTTTCGGCGATGTTAAATGTTGAGGTTCTCCAGCCCTAAAAATCTTAGAACCATAGTGTCTAACCAGATTATTACTGTGTTACTGGCTTCCAGAAACATTGTGACATCCTATCTCAGAATGATGCTGATGCTGATGATGCTGATGGAACTAGTTCAACTAGTTCAAGCATTTACTACTTCCAGGCTGGACTATTGTTATTCATTATTATCAGGTTGTTTTAAAAACATAAAAAGCCTTCAGTTGATCCAATATGCTGCAGTGAGACTGACAGGGACCAAAATAAGAGCATATTTGTCACTATATTGGCTCCCAAATAAATCCACAATTGAATATAAAATCCTATTCCTCACAGACGAAGTCTTGAATAATTAGAACCTTAGCTTAAAGACCATATACTACCATATCACTCAAACAGTACACTCTTTTCTCTGACTGCAGGCCTACTTGTTGTTCCTAGGATATTTAAAGAGTAGAATGGGAGGCAGAGTCTTCAGTTGTCATGCGCCTCTCCTGTGGAACCAGCTCCCAGTACGGATTTGCAAGACAAACTATTTATCTTTAAGACTGGGCTTAAAACTTTCCTCTTTGATAAAGCATATAGTTAGTCCTGGATTGGGTGACCCTGAATCGCTGCAATAGGCTTAGACTGCTGGGGCCTTCCGATGATGCACCGAGTGTCGTCTTAAATCACCTCTTTTACATTTTCACATGTGTTTAAACAGCACTGTGCATTTAATCATTAATTTCTGGGTGTCTTCCACAGTGTGTCTTATGTCTTGTCTCTCTCCCCTTACCCCCAACCAGTCGCAGATGGCGGCCCCTTCATGAGTGTGGTTCCACTGGAGGTTTCTTCCTGTTAGAAGGGAGTTTATCCTTCCCACTGTCACCATGTGCTTGCTCATAGCAGGTCATGTCATAGTTGGAATTTTCTATATTTATTCTGTATGATTGTTTTTTTCAACATCAAGTGCCTTGAAATGACTGTTGTGATTTGGTTCTATATAAATAAAATTGAAGTGAATTTATCACTTCTGTCGTGTCCTGTTGCTTAGGTAGAATTCTCACTTAAAGCATTTTTTAAAAATGGAAAGAAGTGATTCAGCAGTGTCACTAAAGGAGGCGGCTTTGTGGCCACTTAACAAGTACAGTGTGAATGATCAGGCAACACTGGGGACTGACTGCTGCTCAAGTGTAGCAAACACAGAGACAGAGCTTCCTAGAGTGTCCTTTTCTTTACTGAAAACACAGGAGTTTTGGAGCTTTGACAGTCACTAGAAACACATTTATGGCCCTTTGGCAGACTTCCAGTGTGTGTTACTGTGCTGTAGTGAAGCCGGCTGCTTTATTACAAGAGGCTCTCTCACTGTGCGTCTGTGGAGGATTGTCAGTACAAGCTGGTTAATGTGGGATGCTTCCCCCCCTCTTAATTATCCGGAGAAGAAACACTACTTAAACATGTTAAAAATAAATTATGATTAATCGCACTGTGCACCCAGTGGCCAGTTCATCATTTTATTGCAGATTGTTTTTAAACTATGATTTATCTTTGTGTTCATTAGTTTACCTCCTATGTGAGGGGCAGAGGGCAGCAGTGTGTGTGTGTGTGTGTGTGTGTGTGTGTGTAGGTCTTTAAGCTTTGGCAAGCAGGTGACCCGTGGCTGCTCTATAATTGGTTGCTTCAGATTTCCCACAGCAGCTCTCTGTGCCCCAGACGCTCCCGTCTTTATTGGTAGTGCATTGGTATGTTTGCTGTTTTTTGACCTCGTGGGATTGAACTGCTGCCCCTCTTCCAAACATACAATTAACAGCGAACTGACCGGTACTGCTGCAGACTGACAGTTCAGGGATACCCTCACTTTTCAGAACAGGAGCCCGAGTATCTGTTTCACAGAGGGGTTGCAAGAAAATGGCTACAGCCATCTAGAAAAACTGCTATGAGGCTAAATAACTATCTGAAGGCTAAAAAGCAATGAAGAGGTAAAAAAGCAAAAAACAAATCCCAAACCTCCAAAAACAAAATATATACATTTTGTTCAGAAAAACTTTAAAATATGGCTTTGCAAGAGAATTTTTCCCATATATTGAAAGTCAACAGTGACACCACCGCTTACAGGAACTCTGAAAACTAAGCAGAATTAGTTCCTTCACTGTATGTTCTGAGAAAACAAAAAGGATCTACAATGATATTTTTTTAAATTAATGCAGGCAGATGAAATGATCATACTGCCAAAACAGAGCCGAGCGTCACCCATGACAAAAATAGTGTGCTGGGATGATTATCAGTTTGCACCAGTCTGCTGCAACCAGTCCCTGTCATATAAATGAAAAGGAACCATGAGGAGAGAGTCGCATGCAAAGGAAACAAAAAAAAAAGACAAACAGTTGATGTGT